TTTGTTTTAAAGATATTTACTTGGTTTCATACTTTATCCCAACCCTGTTTAAGCTTGCTGCGCTCCACTGAAAATAATTCTATTTAGGCGGTTTGCAAATCAGTAACGTTTTATACCAATCATACACCATACTGGTGGCGAGATTGAGAGAATCATATATACTTCACATGGCAGTTAACCTGTTAAATTTAAAATATTTATTTACCTAAAACTGAAATCTCGTGATGGAGTGATGCATGTGCTAAATGTTCCCTTAATGCTTTTCCAAATAAGGTAAAGTTTTCAAGCCGGCAGAGTGGTTTTGTAGCAACTGATGCCGAATTTTTCAGTTGTAGTCATAGGTAATGTCCCGTATAGTCTTTCTAGACACAATCCAATACGGCATTATAACTGACTAGCGCCGACTTCAAAGGGACCGCGCATATGGGCGTATCGTTTTTTATTATTAAAATTAAATAAATTAAATTATTAATTTGGTATAATTCTTCCATTATCAATAATTGGAAGGCATTAAATGCCGTTATTTAGACAGATGCATTTAATTATAGTTCTACTTGAAACTTAAAAAAAATTATTAATATTATTATAGCTCGTTAACTTGCTACAACTGAATATTAAATTATAAAACGTAAATTAACGAGTAAAATGTTCCTGCCTGTAAGGGCGTTTGGTTTAAACAGGGTACCAGACGTGAAATGAGCCGTTTTTGAACTCATTCGTTTTTTTTCTGGAAAACGAAATTTCAAAGCAAAAACCATAAAGGAAAATAAATTCTTTACAAATAAAACAAAACTATAAATGTATTAATGTGATGACTCTCGGATTACCAAGAATGAAAAATAAGAAAGTTAATCCGAATCTAAATCAGAACCATCTGTCGAGTAATCGAGGTTTGGATTTATAACTACTGGAGCTATAGAAGGTAAAACATAATATTATTTTACCTTCTTAAAGACGTGATTAACGCTGTTTTTTCAAACGTCAGTCAAAGACGGATCTTTAAAAACGCCATTAATATTTTCCAAAATCACATTTGATAAGGTAGGTGCAAAATTACTACGTCTCAGTTTTTGTTTAACTGAAGACCAAACTAACTCAAGTATACAATAATAAGGTGGTAACTTCAATACAGTATGACCACCATCTTTTGTAAAATTATCAATACAATACTGTATTGGAATAATCTTACTTTTAACAATTTCTAACAATTGTGGTTTTGTTTTTACGGAAGCAGGAATATTAATGTTATTATCTTTTAAATATTGTATTATAATTGTTTTCTTAGAGGCACTATTTGGCTTCTTATGAATTTGCCGGGAATAATATGACGCATTGTCCATTACAATGACTGAATTTGGTGAAATATTCGGTAAAAGTTGTTCAGCAAACCAGTTCTCAAAAACTGCTGCATTCATATCTTCATGATAATCCAGCAGGCTTTATTGATATTTTTTGCTGAAAGTAGCAAAGCGTTTGGTACAAAGCCATTTTCATTTCCGGCATGCAAAATTATGACTCGTTTCCCCCTCAAGCATGGTGCATTTAAAACATAATTTTGTGAACCGTCGGCCCAACCACGTTGAACGACATCATGAGTGTCGAACCGTGTTTCATCTAAATAAACTATATTTCTATTGCTATTTCTTAATTTAAAAACTTCCCTTAAATAAATTTGACGTGATTCCAGAATTCCACGCGACTCAATAATGTACATTTGGCTATCTAACTTTTTATATCTAAAACCACAAGTTATTAAAATTTGTCGAAGTGATTCTAATGATTTATATTTGAAATCTTTAAAATCTTGTAATTTTCTAAAAAGTATCTCTAAGGTTGGGACTTGGTTTTCTTTATACGTGTTGTAAACCGTTCGTCGAATCACATCATTAGATGCATCATCTATCCGACGGCTGACGACACGTTTTATTTTTTGACTGTGTTCAATAACGCCTCGTTTAATAACGAATTAAATTGTGGAATAGGGAATTTTTGTTAACTTATATATTCTTTTAACTGCATCTGTTTGTGAAATATTTGGATTTTCTGATTTAAGACAAACAAACATATTTAAAATGACCTGTTGAACTTGAATATGTAAGTCTTGGTTTTTGAATTCCCAAGATTGTGTTTCACCTTAATTGTCATTATTTTGAATTGCATTAATAAAACATTAATTTGTACTGCATTTAATTCTGAATTTCATTATTTATAACTTCATTATTAATGTGAATATCACCATTAACCTGCAATTCATTAGCACCTACATTTACCACAAATGGTCTCCAGAAAGCCATCGCGTACAACACAAATAAAAATTTAACAGAAACTCCTTGAAATAAAAACAAGAAAAGTTTATAGGTAATAAAAAACGTTTAAGAAAGGTTTCAGACTGTGCATGCTACTGAATAACAACATAATAACCGAAGAGTCCAAAGACCGGTCTTTACCGCGTCCCATAAATTATAAAAACTTATTTCGAACACGCCTCCAAGTTCCCGTTTGCGTGTTTTCATTGGTAGACAAAGAAGATGATGGGCTTGTGACACACGTCAATCAAGTCCACGTTGTCTAGCGGCTCCTGTGTTTTAAAAGGGAAGTATACAATATTTTTTGCGCTTATTTGCAATGTGAGGATATAGCATTCTCAGCGCTTATAACGTAAATTATTACGCGCCTCCGGTACAAACGCTATTTTGGATTGGTTTTGAAAAGAGTATACCACACCCGCAACAGGTGAAATACCGCAACCAAAATCTCGCAAATGTGTTATATATTCATTTTTAAATAATAGGGACGAAATATATCTTTCCACAACTTAAAAAAATCTATTGGCTATATTGAATGGATTAAATCTTAAACCAATACATTACGTTTTAATGAAATGGCTAAAAGATTCGATCATAACGTTACCTTTGCTACCATATTATTGTATATTCAATATTATCGAATTGATTTGAAGTATCAAGGGGTGAGTAAAAAAGATAAATGTCACTCATGCTTTGCTTCAAAGTATGTGTTAGATGTTATTGCAGAGACATCTTTAGAAATAATGGACCAGTTGTGTTCGAAATGAATCGGTCATTTGAGAAACAGCACATGTCAGTTTTAGATCATTTTTCAAAAAATAAGAAAAAGTGAAAATCTCGAAACATGGATAAAAAATAGTTTTATACACTTACCGTTTAAAACTTGCTCTATTTTGGGTTTAATACAATAATTATAATTTACCTTTAAATATTGTATGTTTGTAATAAAAACAAAATGGCCAAAAATGTAACGTATCGTTTCTCAAATGACCGATTCAAATGTCAAAAATATTGAATAGCAATTCTTGCATCATAAATCTGGAAAACACGTTAAATTAAGATGACATTTTACGAACATATTTTATTATCCAAGAATTATTAAAATTAAAATATCTTATAAAAAATATTTTATAAAATTTAGTTGATTCCCTTTTAAAATAGATATACTTACTTAATTTAGACAAACAAAATATTATTCTATTAAATCCTATACCAACAAATCCTCATATTAAAATCCGGCACTGTACTTTCTGACCGATAAATTCCTTTGATGTTGCTGTAAAAATGAAACGACAGAAAATAAAAATAACTTACCCTGTAAGTATGTATATACAACAAATCATAAAATTATATTCAAATGCAAACTATTTTGGTAAAGAATTTACCAACGGATAACACTTTTCTAATTAAATACTTCTACACAACTCAAGCGCCATCAATTTATTTTAATTTTCTATCATTTGAAAAATATAGTCAAATTTTATTTAGTTTCTAAACATCTAAATTAATTGTTTTATTAAATTTCATCATGTTTGGTCACACCTTTGTTTAGGTGGATCTAAGCCGAATATATTTTAATAATATTTTTTCTTTGGTCATTGAAAATGTCCAACATGATGGAGTCTGTGTTTCACATAAAACATGGCGTGCTAGATTAAAACTCATTAAACATTTATAGAATATTATCTTACAAGACTTAATGCAGCGTTTTATTTAACCCTTTAAATGCAATTACTGTCGAAGACGTCTATTTACATTTCATATTAAAACCAAGTTGCTTTAATATGTACAAACTCGTCGTTTTATCAGTTTAAAGTGGTCTTTCGCATGAATGAAATCCTAACCTCACAAATGTAGATGTTTTTGTGATTGTTGTATTTAGTGCATTTTCATCATTATGTGCCTAATTTAATAAAAACACAGGTGTCTTTTACATTTTATTTTTACATTAATCTCATTTGAGAATAATTTAAATATTCTTAATGTACGCTTTATTGAGTATTTAGGCTTGTGATAAAAAGTTTTAATTGGTTTTAATGAATACATCAAGGGTACTCCATAAAACTAAATTAAAACGATTTGTTCCAAAATGGATAGTTCAAAAACTAACTTGCTGTGTAATCCCTTAAAAATCAATAAGACATTGATAGCAAATAGTTTTTATTATAATTTAAAAAGTCCATTAAATTACTTACAAGTAGTGGCCTTTAGGAAATTTTAGTTTATCTTAAGGTAACTTTAAAACCAATAGCGTTTTATTGAACACTTTAAAGCGCTTTTAAAAGTGTCTTAACATTGTTACTTGGAAGGTTTGGAATAATTCTATACGATCATAACGTAGATTGAATGCATTTTTTATTAAAATATTCCCATTAGAAAAGAGCTCACATGACAAGTATGTCATTTTGAATGAAATACCCTGTATAATAGTGCTCAATTTAAAAACCTATTGATCACCCTTTCATAATGTGCGTAGTATTGTTTTATAATCTCGAGCATTTAAAAAAGTTTCTACAAATTTAATAAATATGGAATTTTCCACTTCAAAGTACAAAAAAATAAAACGATTGATGTTTAAATTTGGATACTAGATGTACCTACTACACTTGAATGATAGATGAATCAAATAGATTATTTTCCTAAAGGTATATAAATATTAAAAAACTAACCAATATCTATTGATAGTTAGTTTTAATTTAATTTCGAATATGAACATTCTAAGTCTATGTTATTTATTTGTAGTCGCAGCTGTATCCACAGCTTCACCCATTTTAAATTCTAGTGAGTACAAACATATTTTAGTTTTTTTTTAGAAACTACAAAAATGGCATATAAAAGAAATGTCATCATAAGCAAAATGTTTAATCTATTGAAAAAATCCATGTTTAAGCCTTTTAAAATCCGTTTACCATTTTTTATAAATTAATTGAGTCCTGGCTACATTTTATTTATTGTTTTATTCTTTTGTATCCCTGCATTAATAAACGTAAAAAATAGAATACAAATCAAACATTATTACAGCATTATAGTCCTCAATTATTGGTCATTATTTACATTTATTTACATTTATTTACATTTATTTACATTTATTTACATTTATTTACATTTATTTACATTTATTTACATTTATTTACATTTATTTACATTTATTTACATTTATTTACATTTATTTACATTTATTTACATTTATTTACATTTATTTACATTTATTTACATTTATTTACATTTATTTACATTTATTTACATTTATTTACATTTATTTACATTTATTTACATTTATTTACATTTATTTACATTTATTTACATTTATTTACATTTATTTACATTTATTTACATTTATTTACATTTATTTACATTTATTTACATTTATTTACATTTATTTACATTTATTTACATTTATTTACATTTATTTACATTTATTTACATTTATTTATATTTATTTACATTTATTTACATTTATTTACATTTATTTACATTTATTTACATTTATTTACATTTATTTACATTTATTTACATTTATTTACATTTATTTACATTTATTTACATTTATTTACATTTATTTACATTTATTTACATTTATTTACATTTATTTACATTTATTTACATTTATTTACATTTATTTACATTTATTTACATTTATTTACATTTATTTACATTTATTTACATTTATTTACATTTATTTACATTTATTTACATTTATTTACATTTATTTACATTTATTTACATTTATTTACATTTATTTACATTTATTTACATTTATTTACATTTATTTACATTTATTTACATTTATTTACATTTATTTACATTTATTTACATTTATTTACATTTATTTACATTTATTTACATTTATTTACATTTATTTACATTTATTTACATTTATTTACATTTATTTACATTTATTTACATTTATTTACATTTATTTACATTTATTTACATTTATTTACATTTATTTACATTTATTTACATTTATTTACATTTATTTACATTTATTTACATTTATTTACATTTATTTACATTTATTTACATTTATTTACATTTATTTACATTTATTTACATTTATTTACATTTATTTACATTTATTTACATTTATTTACATTTATTTACATTTATTTACATTTATTTACATTTATTTACATTTATTTACATTTATTTACATTTATTTACATTTATTTACATTTATTTACATTTATTTACATTTATTTACATTTATTTACATTTATTTACATTTATTTACATTTATTTACATTTATTTACATTTATTTACATTTATTTACATTTATTTACATTTATTTACATTTATTTACATTTATTTACATTTATTTACATTTATTTACATTTATTTACATTTATTTACATTTATTTACATTTATTTACATTTATTTACATTTATTTACATTTATTTACATTTATTTACATTTATTTACATTTATTTACATTTATTTACATTTATTTACATTTATTTACATTTATTTACATTTATTTACATTTATTTACATTTATTTACATTTATTTACATTTATTTACATTTATTTACATTTATTTACATTTATTTACATTTATTTACATTTATTTACATTTATTTACATTTATTTACATTTATTTACATTTATTTACATTTATTTACATTTATTTACATTTATTTACATTTATTTACATTTATTTACATTTATTTACATTTATTTACATTTATTTACATTTATTTACATTTATTTACATTTATTTACATTTATTTAAATTTATTTAAATTTATTTACATTTATTTACATTTATTTACATTTATTTACATTTATTTACATTTATTTACATTTATTTACATTTATTTACATTTATTTACATTTATTTACATTTATTTACATTTATTTACATTTATTTACATTTATTTACATTTATTTACATTTATTTACATTTATTTACATTTATTTACATTTATTTACATTTATTTACATTTATTTACATTTATTTACATTTATTTACATTTATTTACATTTATTTACATTTATTTACATTTATTTACATTTATTTACATTTATTTACATTTATTTACATTTATTTACATTTATTTAAATTTATTTAAATTTATTTACATTTATTTACATTTATTTACATTTATTTACATTTATTTACATTTATTTACATTTATTTACATTTATTTACATTTATTTACATTTATTTACATTTATTTACATTTATTTACATTTATTTACATTTATTTACATTTATTTACATTTATTTACATTTATTTACATTTATTTACATTTATTTACATTTATTTACATTTATTTACATTTATTTACATTTATTTACATTTATTTACATTTATTTACATTTATTTACATTTATTTACATTTATTTACATTTATTTACATTTATTTACATTTATTTACATTTATTTACATTTATTTACATTTATTTACATTTATTTACATTTATTTACATTTATTTACATTTATTTACATTTATTTACATTTATTTACATTTATTTACATTTATTTACATTTATTTACATTTATTTACATGTATTTACATTTATTTACATTTATTTACATTTATTTACATTTATTTTCATTTATTTTTTCATTTATTTTTTCATTTATTTTTTCATTTATTTATTTTCATTTATTTTTTCATTTATTTATATTCACACATTTTTAATTTTATTTATTTTTATTAGTTATTGAATAATTATTGTATATTTCAGCTTTAGACAGTTACAGCGACTGTAACATTAATAGATACAATGACGTAGCTTCAGTTACGGCCAAATGTAAAAATATTAATGTAGGTAGTTTTGCTGTACCGGCTGGACAAACTTTGAAATTCGCTCTTAAATCTGGTACGACTTTAACCTTTAACGGCGAAATAAGTTTTGGTTTTACACAATGGAACGGTCCATTAATGTGGATCACTGGAAACAGCGTTACTGTACAAGGATCATCAAGTAAGAAACATTTAATAACAAGCAATTTTAATCTATTGTCTTAGCCATTTATATCGATTGTAAATAGCAGTGGCCATAAAACTGAACTTTGTGTGATACTCAATTTTTCATAACATTATAAAAATATAGTAAAACCTGTTTAAATTGCATATGCACTGTTTTAAAAATCTATAAAAAATTTCTATAACTAGATTTTTTATATTGTTTCAAATTAGTAATTTTAATGAAAATTTCACATCAACATTCTCTAACTAATCAAGTTTAATCGTTACTATGATAACAGAAAAGATTTCCGCAAAGTTTTTCATCAATTACCAGAAATTTAGCCAAATCGTCTGGTGTTTAAAGCAGATGTAGGGATCTTTAACAAACCCAATATCTATGGACTCGGGATCGACGGCTTTACATCTCCTCCGAAAGATAACATACCCCTCGATACACCTCGTACTCATTAATATAACACCTGTCAACAATACTTTATTCTAAACTGCCCGTCCGCCGATAAGTCGCGCTATTTATACCAAGACCAACTCTGTACGAGAAGTTTCTAGACGATGTGGAATGTCCTAGGATTCCATCTCTATGACTCAACGGCACGCACCGCCCATTCTGACAGTTTCTCGAAGCGTCAGCGGCATACCTAGAAGATTCCGTCGTTTCGAGCATTAGTCTGGTGGCAGACTTGAAGGTCGCTTGCTTAGACAGGGTTGACTCCGCGTCACACAACTGTAAAATAGTACGAGGAGCTACTTATTTTGTTAGAAAAAATAAAATTATTCTCACAGGGAAAACAAATAAGTATATTAGATAAAAAAATTCAAACCTTTGGCTACAAATGATATAAATTAAAAACATATTCAAATAAACTAAGAATTCAGATAATTACCAATATAGTTATTAGATAATTAAATAATAAACAAATGAAGTGGTAACATAGACGTTGGGCACTTAACGGCATGTTATTCGAAGCTGTTGAGGCGATATGTTAAATTAGAACATAACAGGTGGAAAATAATAGTAATGTGTGAAAGACTTTACATCATACGAATTTGTCTCGTTGCTGTTAGAACTCGGCCTAACATGTATGTTACGGATAACGTAAACGTTCAATGATAGGACCCAAATATAGTTAAAAATGGCCAATGTTAAATCAAATTAACACCCTTTTATTACGGAGGTTATTTGTATAATTATGTCTAGAATGAAAATAACGGATGCTCACGGCACTACTAGATACCTCCAAGTGATGACGATCTAATGCAAAAGAATAAGTAGAAGAAGGATAAAAATCCAAAAATGTAGAGAAGATATAAGATGTAAACCGACAAGTTTCTTGGGTTCGTGATAGAGAGATTGCTAATACGAGTAGGTGAAACCACAACGCTTATAGAAGAAACAATCAAAGGCATCATCGAAAATTCTTTTAAAAACGATACTGGTAGAGTACATTGATGGTAGGTGACACCAGAAAAAGAAAATTAGAGTTGGGAACGCTACAAACACGGGACTAATTGAGGCAAACAAGCAGCTCTAGTATAAAAAAAGAATCTTGGTCTATAGTTATTATTATTAGGTTACGTGGGAAAAATAGTTTTCATGCCAATATTACCGTAACTGCTAATAAATTAAACAATCACTACTATTCAGTAGCTTTAAATTTAACCTGCGTCATGTTAGCAAGTAGCAAGCCAGCTGTAATGAAGTCAATTTTTCCTCAATCGGTTTATTTTAATTTTTAATTTTTAATAAATATTAAACGCTCTCGAAATGTTTGTCCTAGGCTAAAACAGCTGCGTACCGCCGATCGACATATCGATGCGCGGTGGTAAAGCTGGGACAAGATGAGATTGGTACAGCCACGTGCTCGACCCTGCGCGAAGGTGTGACGTCAGGGACAGAGGCGGACGTATAGTAATTTATATTACCTCATTTATTTTAAATTATGTATTATGATTAATTACCAACTAGGTTCTACGATGTGAATTTTATTCTAAATAAATTTCCTTTTTATAAGTGTTTATAAATAATGATAATAAAATAAGACGGAATTAAAATACTTATACCAATAAAAACTCCCGGGCCAGATATTTTGGTAAGTAATAGATATATTTTAATTCTGTAAAAGCCAGTTCAGAGATCACTAAAGGAGCTTCAGTTTTAGATATAAATTGATTTTAAATAGGTCAATATGTAGATGGCGCTGCGCTCAATAATTTTTTTTCGATAGGAGGATCATTCTTGTAAAAAAATGCATTTTTAAGCAGATTTTGGTTCTATGAACTAATTCGATAAATCTAGCCATTTTTGATATACAGAGTGGACCACTCAAAAGAGTTTCATCCCGTTTTTCAGCATTAATCATTGGATTTTAAGAAAATGCTAATGCAGGTCGATTTTTATTTTAAATTAAAAATATTTTTACAATACAGACATCTGTCATTTGTCAACCCCCTCCCTTGCACTTCTTCAAGACCTTAATTTTAAATAGGTAATGTACCATCATTGAGAAGGTGGAGGATTCAGAAATATTTCTGTACATTGCGTTACTTAAATGTTATCGCCTTTTGGCAGGATAAAAATCTACTACGTATTATATAGTGTGATACTACAATGTGAAGTACAAGGGTAATTTTATGGGGAATTTAGAAATATGACTGTCCATTGCGATACTTTTAATTGCATTGCCCTCTATCAGGATAAAAACTACGTATTATAAAGTGTGGCACCTTATTTGAAAGCAAATTTAATTACTAATTCAATGTACCACATAACATTAATATAAATATCCTCCATATTGCACTTGCAATACTTTAAAAATTAGTCAGGCATTACTTTAAACATTATTACTAACTTTATTTTGTTGCAAGTGTAATATGGAAATATTTATATTAATGGTATGTGGTGCACTGAATTAGTCACTGTCACGCTTTATATTACGTTACAGGTTTTTTATCCCGATGGAGGGCGCTAAAATTAAAAGTATCGGAATAAACAGTCATATTCCTGAGTTCTAAATAAAATGATCTGCCGTACATGGTACATTCCTTATTTAAAATTAAGTGGAAGGGAGGGGGTTGACACATGACAGATGTCTGTATTGTAAAAACGTGTTCATTTTGGAATAAAAATCGATTTGTTTTAGCATTTTCTAAAAATCCAATGATTAATGCCGAAAAACAAGATGAAACTGTTTTGAGTAACCCACTATGTATATCAAAAATAGCTTAATTTATTGAATTAGTCTATAGAACAAAATCTGCCTAAAAATGCATTTTTTACCAGATGCGTCATATAAGAAGGATCATCCCATAAAAAAAAAAAAAAATTGAGAGCAGCGCCATCTTCAAATTGACCTATTTAAAATTAATTTTTATCTAAAACTGAAGCTCTCTTAGTGCTCTGTGAACCAGCTTTTACAGAATTAAAATATCTCTATTACTTACCAAAATAGCCGGCCTGGGAGTTTTTATTGGTACACCCTCTATATTACAATAATACATATAAATAGAGACACAAATCTAATTTTCGTCCGATTCTAAATCAGAGAGATGTTGTACTCCTAAACTAAAGTCACTGTCTTCATCTTATGACCAACTTTCATCCGATGATCCAGTATTCACTGTAAACCTTAAATGGTCCATTGTGGAGTCCAACAAATGTTCTTTTTTAATTTGTGTGGCTTAATATGTTAACCCACTCTTCTACTTGCAATGTCGCAATGTCGCAAACCTTGTGTTAACGATTCCACATTAACTAAAGTGAATGTGGTATTTCTCGCTGCTACCCAATTTTCTACAGATGCCCATATTTTTTCACTTGAGTTGAAATCAGGGTGATAAGGTGGAAGCCAAAGGACTTTGTGACCGTGTGCCTCCAATAATCTGTCTAATTCATAAATTTTCGGAAATCTGTATTTATTATCTTTAATAATTTTGTACAATTCAGGTTTTGTCATTGATTCCTGAAAAGGCATGTCTTTTACTTTCAGCCATTTTGTTATGGCTAATTTGAGACTTGCTGATGTAATATTTCGTTCCACAGTTACATTATGCCATTACAACAACAAGAACACAATACTTATATGTAAATATAAATTACAAGGCATTATAATTATATAAAATTGTCACTTTTCGCACTCTGTTCACTTTGTATATACTCGACCCAGGTTACGCCACTGAACGACTAAATTTGGCTTCACCGAGTGGCCGTCGCTAGGCAACAGCCAGTGCGCAACTTGGCCCGGCTCTATACTGGTCGTTGGTGGGAATTTCTCTCGCTTTCGTCGCGAATTAAGAGGATTTGGAGAGGCACTTGATTTCAGCCAGTTAAAAGTTAAAGCAGCATTTTCAATTAGGTCCGCCGTTGATAGATTTATTTATAAGTCCGTTAGGTAAAAAAACTTGTTTCAGTTTTTATAAAAGAAACGTTTTATATTGAGACCGCATTTAGTTTAATTTAAAAACCGAATTATCTTTTGGAAATAGGAACATTTTAATTTATTGTTAAGTTAAAATATATAATATGATTTTATTAATAAATATTAGAATTTATTTCTTGGCAAATATAATACCGTTCTTAAAGATATTGTTGTAAAAAGATTTATGGAATGTAAGTTTTCTTTTTGTTAGTCTCAGACTGGTAATTTAATTTGTTTTAATTAATAAATAGAAGTTAGCTATTTAAAAATAGAATATCGTTTCTTTAAAGGGAATTGAATTTGATTTAAATAATAAATTATATGATTTAGTTCTTTAAAATTGTAATACCGTTGATTTAGACATTTGGTAGTTAGTCTGAACTAAGAAATTAAACTTTTCTTTTTGTTTAGTAAGTGCCGCGTTATAAATAAGTAGGGAATATTTAGAAACGGAGTTTTCGAGAAGACGTTTTCCCTCTTTTAATAGTTTTGTTTTCTCTTTTATCGCAAATTTAAATAATCTTAAATGGTATCCTGTCCCTGTCTGAGCGGGCTTGTGATGACGATCAGCTCATTCTTGGAT